AAATCCACAACTTAAGGATTTTTGAGTTTTCCTCTCCATACTGACACACTTTTTGTTTGCTTAGATCCTTTTTAATGCTGTACACTAATGTTTTCTCCATGCATCTTGAGCAAGTTTTGTTAGATTCATTATTCATATATGTAAAATAAATGTGTTATATATTTATTATATTCCTTAAAAAGGCAAGTATATAGAAAGAGAGAGAATTTTTGGTGATTCTGGTCTAATTATTATTAGTTTTTATGTACTTATTTATTAACAAAATTGCATGTATTTTTCAGGTACATGTTATTTTGCAATATGTATACATTGTGGAATAGTGGTTATGTAATTTTATATTTTTAATAATATGTTTTCTGTTTGTTACAGATACATAGAAATTAAATTGATTTTTAAAAATATTGACCTTGTATTCAGCCATATTATTATTTTAACAATAATCTCTGAGTCTTGGAGGCTTTCTGTGTAGACAAACATATCAACTAAGAAAAATCTATATGATTTTTCTTCCTCCCCAGTGCTCATTCTTTGTATTCCTTTTTTTAAAAAAAATTTCACTAACTAGATCTTAGACCATTTTGAATAGAAATAGTGATAAAGGGCATCTTGCTCCTAATTTTAAAGAAATTGCCTCTGTGGTATACCATAATCATGACACTTGTGTTTATATTTTGGCAGGTATCTTTTCATTAGATTAAGAAGTTTTTCGCCTGTAATCCCAGCACTTTGGGAGGCTGAGGTGGGCGGATCACCTGAGGTCAGGAGTTCGAGACCAGCCTAACCAATGTGGTGAAACCCCATCTTAAAAAAAGAAAAAAAAAGAAGTTTTTATCTATTTCTAGTTTATTAGGAGTTTTTATCATGAATGGATGACGGATTTTATCAAATGCTTTACTGTATCTATTAAGCTAATTTAAGTTATTTTCTGTTTTAATCCATTAAAGTGGTGAATGACTTGATCATAATAGCTTATCCTTTTTTTGGCTACATTTGATTTGGTAATTTTTAAAAGAATTTTGGACTATATTTTATTTAGTGAGATTGGAATATACTTTTACTTTCTCCCTCTCTTCTTGCCTGGTTTTGGTAGAAAGATTACGCTAGCCTCACATAATGAGTCAGAGAACATTCATTTTATTTCTGTTATCTGAACTAGTTTGTTAATATTGTAATTTTCTAGTCCTTAAAGTTTCTAAAATTTCTGTAAAAATCTGTAAAATGGTTTTGAATATTTTCTTTGTGGCAAGATTTTTTAACCATTTGATTGAATTTTTTGAAAGGCATCAGGATCCTTCCGTTTTGTTGTTTTTGTCAAGTTCATTTCAATTTAAGTTATATCTTCCGGAGATTGTGTTCATTTCATCAAAGTTTTCGAATTAATTGGCATAAGAATGCTAATAAAGCCATCATTGCTACCTTTTTGGACTTATTTATTTTTAATACTATTTATTTTTGTCTCCTCTTCTTTTACCTTAACCCATTCTGTGAGGAGTTTTTCATATTATTAGTTTTTTAAGAAGAAACATTTAAGATGTGTTAATCCTCCTTATTGTATCTTTGCTTTCTGATTCATTCATTTTTGCGCTCATATTGACTGATTCCTTTCTTCTGCCTTTTTTCTGGGCTAACTCTTTTTTAAACTTCTCAAACTGGTTGCTTATCTCATTCCTTTTTCAGTTCTTCTTTTCTAAGTATTTACATAAACATTTCCTTTTAAATGCTACCTGGCTTGCATTCTACAAAATCGGTTGTGCAGCATTTTCATTATTAAGTTCCAGCTATTTTTAACTTTCACTATAATTTTTTCTTTGATCTATGAGTTACTTAGAAATGTTTTTAAATTTCCAAACTGATAGAAATTTCTGTTACGTATTTTTGTTACTGTCATTTGATTCAATTACATTGTGATAAGAAAATATGATCTATATGTCACCTCTTCTTTGAAATTTTTGACTTATATTATGGCCCAGCGTATGACCACTATGGGGAGTAAATATTGCATGCATGCTGAAAAAAATGGTCATTTTCTAACTGTTAGCTGCATAGTTCTATGTAAGGCCAATAAACAAATCTGTGTGTTGAATCCTCCCTATCTTTAAATTTTAAAAAATCTTGCATAATGATGGAGTTTGGTAGTTTCTTGTGACTTGCATTAAAGGCATTCACGGAGACATGAGTCCCGTGAGCATCCTGGTTGGTCCTGAGGGTGAGTGTTAAGGACAGAATAGTCTCAGGCTTGGTGGCCTTGGAGGAGGCTGCATACCCGAGTGTGGGGCAGGACCTGAGAGCTGCTGGAGTGGGGCTCATTCTCTTCTGATTGGCAATGCAGTGACCCTCCTCACCTAGATGACCTGGAAAACATTCCTGCCAGGTAGGCTGGAGGCTAGGCTGGCTGGGCATGAGATAAGAAAGTGAATTAAAGTGAATTGACTTCTTTTTTTTTTTTTTTTTTTTTGAGATAGAGTTTCACTCTTGTCACCCAGGCTGGAGTACAGTGTCGTGACCTTGGTTCGTTGCAACCTCTGCCTCATGGGTTGAAGCGATTCTCCCGCCCCAGCCTCCAGAGTAGATGGGGTGAATTGACTTCTTCATTCAACAAACCCGGCAGGGAGCCTGTGCTGTGACAGGGGCTAGGCCTTGTGCTCTGGGCCTTGCCCTCACAGCTCCCCAGCCAGTGCAAGCCATCCCACACCAGTGACAGGAGCAGCCTCACAGTCAGAACTGGGCATTCATGACTGGAGCATGGGGAGGGGCACCCGTTCTTCTGGGTGCATTGTGCCACATCGAAAAGGCACACAATCATCTCACTGAGGTGCCTCGGCTGGGTGCCAGGGCATCTCATGAGATTCTAGCTTACGGGGCGTTTTGGGCCTCTGCCTGTCTGTCTAAGCAGGGAGCAGACTGCATTTCCCACACTCGGAGGCTGCAAAAGTGGCAGCAGACGCCTCCTCTCCTGAGAGTATGTGGCACAGGTTGAGCCCCCAAGAATGTTTCCACAGGTGTTAGGGAGCAGAAGTTCACGCTGGTGTTTAGGTTGACTCATCCCATGCAAAAGTGTTTTAAAATCAGTTCCCGACATTTGAAACTTAGTGATTTCATATAAAAATGAAACTGCCCGGTGTGGCTGGAAGCCCTGGGCCGGGCCTGAATATAGCTCGGCTGTCCCCAGCCACCGTCTACAGATTGTGGGGTCTGCACTGGCATTTCCTTTCAGTACACTTAGAGAAATGTGAAATATTTTTCTTATACATGTTCCCATTAAAACTGGGGTAAAATTAGAAAAAAACTCCACATATTCCAGGATAAATAAGAGAGTATGTTTCTTGGTGCAGGTGGAGACTGTAATTTCATGAAATAAGTAAAGTGTGGATGGATGGAACTTTAAGGCACACAAATGAAGCCAATTACTTCTCTCATGACCATCCTTCTCCGCTCATGTGCATTATTTATGAGAAACTCTGAAGGGGCTGCAGCAGCCATGCAGAAGGACCCGGGGGCATCCGTGGCACTAGGGCAATGGGACCGCTCTGGGTGGACCTTGGCAGTGTGTGGTGCCTGTGCATGAGGGGCTTAGACTGCCAGCCGAGGGCCTGGGTTCTGAGTCCAGCTCTCATATTCACTGCTGTGTGGACTTGGACAGCTTGTACGCTTAGGGAAAAGTGAAATATTTTTCTTACACATGTTCCCATTAACCTGGGCAAGATTTTGTTAAACCTGTGATATAGAAATATACATGCTTGTTTATCCACACAGCAAATAGCAAGATCGGACAGCAGACAAAACAGCTACCACCATCTCGACATGGTGATAAGTGGAATAGATGTTTAGAGATACCTGTAACAGCTGGAACGTGGATGGAAAGACTTGTGATTCCCACCAGGAAATCCTGCTAAGGTAACATCAGGCACAGTAGCAAGTGCTCATAGTGTTGGCTGCTACCATTAGGGATTTGACTGAGGGCGCCCAAGAATGAAAAGAGCCCAATTTCTGTCAGCTCAGTTGGGTGGGGGGCTCAAGACTTGTCATTAAGTTGATTTCTATTTTAAAAGTCACATTTCCTGCACACTTGGTGGCTGAACAGCTAAGCATTGAGACAACGTACGGGTATAAAGGAGTACAGGAGCATGTGGCCCTCCGTGTGCTGGCTGAGCCTGCGTGACTACCAAGCCTCCTCCAGGGTAGGGACCTGGATGTGGGGCCTATAAACTTGGATGGGAAAAAAACTTCAACTCTGTTCTCTAACCTCTAAGGAAAACTTAGCATCTTTTTCTAATAGTAGTGTGGCAAACAAACCACAGCAACATTACTACCAGGTGACTTTATTCCTGGTAGGACTCACAGGTTTTTCCATCCACATTCCAGCTGTTATGGATATCTCTAAATATTGATTCCATTTACCACCATGTCGAGATGGTGGTAGCTGTTTTGTCTGCTGCCAGGTCTTGCTATTTGTTGTGTGGATAAAGAAGCATGTATATTTCTATACTGCAGGTTTGACAAAATATTTTTGATAACTATGCCTTGATACTACTGATTTCTGTTATGATTCTTATCTATTTTAGTTTGGGCATTTAAAAATGTTATTCTGAGAAGAAAGCGATAGGCATTCCTAGACTCAGAGGGGTCCATGGCACAAAAACAGTGACCGAGCCGGACTATTGGCCGGAGGGGCATTTCTTGCTACTTCTCGAAGTCAGAGGCTACTGCAAGGGCTGGACTGCAGGGCAGACCGGCTTTGCCCACAACCCCTCTGATGCTTAGCAACATGGGTCATTGGGCAAGAAATCGCACCTCACTGTGCTTTGTTCCCACACTCTGTGGGGAGGGTTACAGGAGAGAACACTATGTATAATATCCCAGCACGTGCAGTGGGCCTAATCACAGCCAGCTCCTGGCAGAGGCCAGGATGACAGTGGCTTCCTTCAGCCCTGTCTTCCGAGAGGCTGAGAGGAACTGAACAGCCTCCTGGCTGTGGCGGTGGCTTCCTTCCCCATCAGTCACGTGGGGCTTGTCCTGTCCCCGGAGTCTTGGGTCACATGGCTCATTGTGCCTGGCCTGCCAGGAGACAGGAGCAGAGCACCAGCATGGACTCGGGAGTCAGCATGCTGAGGATCCTCTTCCTCCTGGGTAAGTGGAGACTGTGGGGGTCTCTGGTCTGGGGGAGCCTCAGTGGGCAGGAAACTGGGGGAGCCTTAGCCCACTGGGGCTTAATCCCTAAAGCATAACTCTGTCCCTTTACACAGATGGCTTCTCTCACTTTGACCTAGTAGTGAGCAATGCTCTTGTTTATCTCACTCCCACTGCAACTTAGAAATGCTTCTGTGCTAAATGAGAACAGGAACTGTCATAACAGAAGGAGCTTCAGGCTTGGTATCTAGAAAAATCTGGGTGTAAACGTTGGCTTCATTGCTAATAAAGTAGAATACGCCTCTGAAACTCTCTGAGTATAACTTTCCGAACTAACGAGATGGGAGATAATCATGTTTACTTTTTGCGATTGTGAGAAAATTAAGTTAAATTTAATTAAGTCAAATCAAAATACTGACTTAGAGTGAGAACACGTAGGTATGTAGATGCTGCCATACAGTTAACAGTGAATCAGGATTCTCATGCAGTGAAGCAGATTCTGCTATTGAGAGGTATCTTGTTTTTAAAAACTATTGTTAATGCATTCACTGAAAGAAGGAAGAAAGGAGAGAGGCAAAGACTAATAAAAAAAGTAGGGCCAAATGAAGAGGGAGAAATACAAAGTCAGAGAAGCAGACAGAGAGGAAGAAACTCAGACACACACACACACACACACACACACACACAGAGACAGAGACATACAGAGATGGTTAGAAATATGCATACATGGAGACAGACAGGGATGAAGAGAGACGTGTGGCTTTACAAAGTTTCCTCTGACATCAACTGTTGTTTCCTAAACAGACAGCACATGTCCCTCATATATACAAAGACATTCTTTCCCAGAACTTGCACTGCGCCAAGACTCAATGGTAAGCAGTCTGTCTCCAGATAAAATCTTGTGTCTCCAGAATAAGTTGTATCCTGAATGTGGGGAAATTTGGTCTTGTGAGCAGGTTTCCATATGAAGTCTGCACTAAGCAGGGGATAGCAAAGACTTTGGCCTTCGTAAGTTAGCATGTCAGACAGAGAGCCACAACATCCATCAGTTTACACATGGAAATGGGCTGTTGGCAGTGACCATGAGGACATGGCAGGAACCAGCAAGCAGCAATTAAGAGTGTGCACGGTGGTTAGAAGTAGTGTACCTGACCAGAGATGTGGCGGAAGGTAAGGAAGTTGTAACCTTTGTTTCTCATTTTGACCTATCTAGATGAAAAAACCAGTCTGTCCTGGTAGAGAAAAAGGAAGTTAAATTTGAGAAATCCAATGAAAAATGTACAACTTATATAAACAGGCAATTCCTTAAGGAATTATTGACACAAAACCCTTTAAAATGTCCAGTCTCACAAAAATAATTAAAGAACTAACAACACGTCACATTTTTTAGTGTGTCTAATGTGCTAGGTGCTCTGCTAAACTTTTTACACGAGCTCATTTGGCCCCCAGACCAACTCTGTATAATAGATTCACAATTACCTGTGTTTTATGGATAAGGTTTTAATCACTGGGCCAAGGCATTACACCTCATTTGTGTTTTCATATACTATTGGTAGAGGTACACAGTGGTTAGGAGGGGTATCCAGTGCTAGACTCCCTGAATGTTCATCCCGGTTCTGTTGTTTACCAGCCTGGACAACTTGGACAAATAATTCATTTTCTCCATGCTCAGTTTTCTCATCCATAAGTTGGGGACACCTCGTTGGACTATTGGGAGAATGAAATCTGTTACCACATTTAAAGCACTTAGCACAGGATCTGACGCGTGGTGAGCAGTCACTGTTGGATGTGAGGGGACTCATTAATTCAGTCTCTCCAGAGGGCAATTTGGCACAATCTGGGTGTCATTGTAAGCAATATGTAAGATGTTCATAACCCTTCACCCAGAAATTCCACCCTCAAGAATATAACCTAATGAAATAATAGGGTAAAAGCCCGGCCAAAATATTTCACAGGATATTATTCAACACTGCAGAAACCATAGTGAAAACCAGAAATAAGTGACTATCAGTAGGAATTTGACTAAATTAATTATGCTTTAATGTATCATTAAATGCATGAAAGACATGAACTGACGTGAACAAAGCAGAAGTGATGACTTGATCGTTACAAGTCAGAGTTCCGTGTAATCAGTAGCCACGTTTTGCATGTGTTTACTTACATATCCAAAGACTGACTGGAAAGAAATACAGCAAATGGTTCTTAGCATCCTTTATTTTTCTCAGGAAAAAGAATTATAGGGCATATTTGTTTCTCTGTATTGGCATTTTTCGTAATGATAATGTATGTTCTTAATTCCAATAAGTAAATGCTTGTGAACAAAACGCAAACATGAGAGCCTGTTGAAAGCAAATGAAGAAAACGTTGGGCTTCCCCTTTATTGACTGGAGAATGGGAACTAGAGGACTAGTTAATGCACTCTACCAGCAGACGGATGCCCATGAGGGCAGGTGACCAAGCCAGTTACCCAGGGTGTAGGAAAACTGTGCCTCGGAGGCCTTAGGGGGCATGGGGGCACTCTCTGTCCAGTCCCTCCGTGACACAGGATCCCAAGTATGACTAGGGGACCCTGGGATGAGAAGCCAGGTCACTCTTTCCCACACAGAGTTGGTAGAAAGTTTTTAAAGAAATAGTTTTTAAATATTCTTTAAATATTTTCAAACACTGAGATTAATGGAACAGACATTTATGGAGCCAACACCCTGATTATCAAATGTTAACTTTCTCTCTAGATACGTACTTAAAGGTAGGTAGCTAAATCAATGTATCCATCAGAGAAATAGAACATAAGAAGTGGAGTCTGGCTGTCTTCCTCCCCTTGTTTTCCTCCCTCCCCATAGGGAGCGGCACCCCAGGCTTGGCTGTGCTTCCTTCCTGGGTTGCTTTGCAGCTGTTAACAGCTTTGGAAGACTCCGCCATAGCATAGTTAACATGTTGCATTATCTACGCATTCTGATAATATGGGTCAAATGCATTCATCTCAACTACTCTACAAGCTTCTTCAGAAACACTGTCATTTATCTGTTTATTTATCCATTTCTGTACTTTCAGAATTTAGGTTGTCTCTAAATTGCAGCCTGACGGTGGATGCTTAGATGAGCCCTCTCGCCCTACCTCCTGAAACCCACCTGCTGCTGTTTTTCTAGAAGACATCCCTGGAAGGGGAAATGTTGCATAAATTCTCCTTTTATTAGATATTGCCAAATTGCCCTTCACCTGGGGTTGTGGGCATATCTATTTCCTTACATACTCAGTAATACTTGATACTGCCTGAGTTCTCAATGCTTGACTATGAGAAGGGTATAAAATTTTATCTTGAAGTTTTTATTTTAGTTTGTGTGTTCCTAATTACTACTGAGAATAACTACTTTCTCTACATTATCAGACAGCCCGCTCTCCTTTTCTGTAGATTTCTCATTTTATATACCTTTCTCCCAAGCTATATTTGATTATTGGCCTTTAATGTAGTATTGTGGATATTAATTATTTGTACATTTCGTGTGTTGCAAATATCTTCTCTCAGTATGTTGCTTATCTTTTATCTTTGTGGCATCCTTTGCTGTAAGAAGTCTTTCAACACGATGTAATCAAATGTATTGGTCTTTCCCTTTTTGTGTGTTTCGTTTTTCTGTCTTAAGAAACATTTAAAAAATATTTTTACTTTTAAGTGGTTGCATTTTTTATAATTAGGTCTTCAATTTATTTTGAATTATTTTTATTTGTGGCCTAAAGAAAGTATCTAATTTTAATGTTTTCTGTATGGGACATCAGTTGTTGCAATATCATCTATGTAATAATCTTTCCTTTCTTTGCTTTGCAATGATTCTGTATTGGACACATATTCTATGTCTATTCTGTACCCATTTAATATGTCTGAACCATTAATGGGCTTCATCTTCTGTGCCACTTTTTGCATCTGTCTGTCTTTGAATCCACGCCACACTGTTTTATTTGCTAAGGCTGAATAATCTTGATAGCTTGCAGGTGAAATATCTACTGCTTGTCATTGTTGCTAGAATCATTGTGGCCCTTAATTCACTTCCTCTTACACGTAACTCTCCTTCCTGGAAAGTGCGATAAAATTTCGCTTCCTGAGAGCTGACCCTGGGCTGGGCTGTTCTCAGCACTCCCACGTGGACCCTGTTGCTTTCTCAGCCCCAAAGGCAGATGCTTTTATTGTAGTCATGCCTGTGTTTGCAGACAAGGAAACTGAGGCACAGAGCGATTAAAGTAGCAGGTGAATGGCCCAGGGAAGATTCAAACAGACATTTTGATGCCCAAAAGCTGAATTTTTAGCTCTAAAACCAATTGCCTCTTAGTCAAGAATAGAAAGGACATTGTGAAAAAACTGAAGTGAATGTTTAACTTTTTTAAAACAATTTTTATTTCAAAAGAATTCAAACTTTCAAGAAAAGTACACGAATAAGAATAATACAAAGAACACCCGTATGACTGCCTATTTTAAATAATTTATCTTATTTGCTTGATCATATATGGCCTCTTTCTCGTTCTCTCTCTCTCTCTCTCTCTCTCTCTCTCCACACACACACACATGCACACACACACACGCACACACAAAATTTATTTCCTGAAACAATTGAGGGTGAATTGTGTATACCATGGGGTTTCTTTTAACCTTTAAATACAGCAGTGTTTCTTTCTTTTCTTTTCTCTTCTTTTTTTTTTTTGAGGCGGAGTTTTGCTCTTGTTGCCCAGGCGGGAGTACAATGGCGCGATCTTGGCTCACCTGCAAACTCCACCCTCTGGGTTCAAGCGATTTTCCTGCCTCAGCCTCCTGAGTAGCTGGGATTACAGGCATGCACCACCATGCCCAGCTAATTTTGTATTTTTAGTAGAGACGAGGTTTCTCCATGTTGGTCAGGTTGGTCTTAAACTCCCGACCTCAAGTGATCTGCCCGCCTCGGCCTCCCAAAGTGCTGGGATTACAGGCGTGAGCCACTGCACCCGGCTTTAGTGTTTATTTCTTAAGAAGAGAGATA